TCTATTACAAGAAAAAACAGTTACGAGAAAGTTATAGATGTAATTCAAGCACATGTAAAGTATTATTCAAAACTTGTCAAAGTTCAGAAATAAAAATTTCTCGAAGTTATTGCAAAAAACATGTGTGTTCCTATTTCTTTTATCGTATGATCACACCATTATGAAGTTGAGACGTCTTCTTCATTAAGTGTCAAAATATAAAAGGGCCCTCTTTTATAAAATTCATGTTATTTAATCATGAGGTTAATGAAAGCATTTTCAAAGAATAAAAATGCAGACTATTCTTTAAGTCCTTGAAAATAAAAGGCACGAATAGAACAAATAGAAGTTTAAAGACAAACTTCTTAATATTTTAAAACTAAAAGACTAAGTATAAACTTAGTCATCGAACTATTCATACAAAAAATGCCCCTTAAACAAGACTTGGGGACTTGAACTTTTAAAATCAAACCTTAACTGATAAGCAGGGGTTTGATTTCAAAAAAAAAACTGTCACAAGAAACCAAAAACTTTAAACATAGTTTTCCAGATGGGTACCTGCAAAAAAGGGAATTTAAAGCAAATATAAGTCTTTTCGCTAAGAAGAAAGAACTGAGGAAGGATCATCAGCGGGCTCAACAAGAGTAACATCGACAGACGAGATCTCAGCTTGGCTTGCAGCAAGGGGCACAGTTGAGCTTGAAGAAGGTACAACATCCGAAGCAATTGCAGCATTCACAGAGGCTTCAGCGGCGGGAGTTTCAACCAAGGGAACTTCAACCTCGGGACATGAAAAATCTTGTGTTTGTTGAGTTCGTGGCTAATTCTGATTCAAGGTTGAAGTCCTCTTGACCCATTTCTAGTAAGGTGTCACGACGAGAATTTAGGAAGGCCCAACTCACCTCGACATTAGTTTTTTCCTCAAGGATTTCATAATCCCTTTCCCAAGCAGCGACCTTATTCTTGAGTCCTTCATTCTCAGCTAATACAGAATTATAAGAAGATTGAAGGGCGGCATGAGAATTCTCCAAAGCATGCATACTATCCACAGAGGCACGAAGATCCTCCTGTGCCTTAGTCAAATTTTGAACTAACTCCCCGGCATAAACTTCTTTTTGGTTCAAAAGATCCTTCAATGCCCTGATTTCTTCACTGGCCTTGGATAATTGTTCAGAAAATGAAGTCTCAAGACGTTCTCTTTCTTTTTCCCCCTGATTCAACGAAGCCTTGATGACCCCCAACTCGGAAGTGAGTGCTCGAACCTGTTGTTCTAAGGCACTCTTATTCTCTTGTAAATCCTTCATGTCGAGTTGAACACTGCCAAACTGTTCCTTCCAGTTGTTTGCCTCAAACTGGGAATCACGTGCTACCTTCTCCAAGAGGGAGATTCTGCTCATCAGCTCAGTGCCAATAAGATTGGCCTAAAAATAAAAGAGAAGTGAAAATCCCAGAGTCGATTTTTTTTATAGAATGGAGAAAAATAGGAAAGAAGAATACCTTTAAAGTGGCATGCACTATGTCGTTCATGAGGGTCAGGTTGCTGTGGCTTTCAAGTTTTGTTTTTTCAATGGGGCCAATCAAAGGCTCGAGCCAAATATCAGCCTGACCAGACTTTCTCAAGAGGCTGTTGTTAGCAAGAACTTCAATAGTTACGCTCCTCATAGTAGTACTCTTACTTGAAGAGCCCACCTCCATATGGTGAACAATAGATGGAGGAACAGACAAAGGAGGAGCGATAGAAGGAGGAACAGAAGCAACACTTGATGAAGGTAAAGGAGCAATCATAGGTACGGGAGATGAAGAAGAAGATAAGGGAATTTCATCTAAAATAGGTCCTAAGTTTTCACTACCAAAACCACTAGCAAAAAGTTGATCAATAGACTCACGAGTGTCGTGAGGAGAGACGTTATCATCAGGAATGATAACTGGAGTAATAACAGACTTGGAAGGAGATAGATGAGGGGAAACTTCAGCCTCATCATCAGAGACGATACGTCTCCGGGCTCGAGGCCTCATCACCAGGGAACCTTTATCTTCCTCCTCTGAATCTTCTTCTTCAGTTTCAGTAGCTTTTCTTTTTGAAGAACCCAAGAATACATCTTGGGCTGAAGAGGTGCGAGTACTCAAAGAGTCACGAGCAGCTATGATCGACTCTGCGGTGACCCCACGAATAGCAAATCCTGATAAAAAGAAGGATAAAAGTTAGAACAAAGAAGATATTTAGATACAGACAAGGAAAAATAGAAACCCTTACCATGAGTTTTTACTTTCCAACCATAACGGCTGGAAAGGGTTTTCCACGACCTACCCTCCATTGGAGCGGCCTTCAACAATTTTCCTACCCAACCACGGAAGTTGGGCACGGTTTCCACGACACCCATGGTTGCTGAGAAAGGAAAAAGAAGCGACATTAGAAAAGGTGATAAAACCTGAAAAGGAAAGGCACGAGGAAGATTTAATACTTACGTGCAAAGTTCCACTTCTCGGGGAAGGGAACGTTATTTTCACCCACTAAACCAGCAGTGGGGGCAGCAACAAACCGGGCATACCAGCCATGGTCTTTATCGTCCTCAGGGCTCACTAAAACCCTTTTGCTCCTGGCTGCTAGGGTAAAAACGCCGTTGCGAAAAAGCCTAGGGGAATAGAGATGAATTAGGTGGGGAAAAGTAAATTCGGCATCTGCCAAGTTAGTGAGGTGCCTTAAGCAGGCGACAGCCCTCCAAACGATTGGGCCAATTTGACCCAAGCTGACATTAAAAAAGCGACAAAAATCCAGAATAACTGGATCAATGGCTGGTTTAAACCCTAAAGTAAAGGGATACGTATAAACAAAAGAAAATCCAATAATGTAGGAGGTGATTCTCTGATTTGGATTGGGAATGATGATAGGGAAATCATCACTCCAATGACAATCTCTACAAACTATGGGGATTAAAGGGTCAGTAATTTGAGAAGGATAAGTATCAACTCGATTTAAAGAGGCGACTTGAGTTCTGAGAGATTCCCTGTCGTGGTAAAAAGATAAGTCCGTTGGAACTATTTCATCCACTAAAGGTTCGCGTAAGGGTTCAGAGGATTCTTTGTTTCTGGAAGAAAACCTTTGAGAATGGGAACCTCCAGTTCTAGAAGAAGGGCCAGAACTAGAAGAAGGTGTGAGTGAACTACCACTACGGACAGATCCCAAATTACGGAGTCTACCACCACCACCTCTTCTATGCCTAACGGGAGCATTGGGAAAGCTGTCTAAAATAGGAGTTCTTCTAGGGTTAGGGTTCGGAGAAGCCATGACAAAGGAGATTGAAGTGAAGAAGAAGTGAATAAAAGTTTTGAAAAATTAAAGTGTTCAATACGCTTTAAATGGTAGAAGACAAAGATGGAAGTTATATTTATACCGATGAATGACCGTCAGAAGGAAAGAATATAGTGATGGGAAGTCCATAATAATGATAACTGACACTTCGTGGACAGGGAAGCCGAAAAGAAAGCCTAAGAAAGTGCTATACAATTGTATGACCAATAAGAAGATGACACGTGTTTAGTGCATTAAATGAAAGTAATAAGTGAAGCGTCAAACTCTGTCAGAGCATTAATGGTGACAAAAATTCTCCCTTAAATGAATTCCACTTTCCAAATATTCAAACTGATGAATAAATGGAAAGTGGGGGGACTATCTGTATTGAGAAAAATTATATTTATGTATATGGTGACGTGTCATGACGTATAGACTGGTCAAACAGTCAAAGAAATAAGGTTGGTTAACAGATACGAGCAACAACAGATACGAGTAAATTAAATGGAGGGGGTGCGAGCAGTCATACAAGTAATTCAACACTCGTACCTATTCAAGACATTTGAAACTCAAAGATAGTGAAAAATCAAAGGAATGAATCTAACAGCAAAAAGGAGCCCAGATACATCATTTAATGAGTATTAATTATTGGAAACGTTAGAGAATATGTATTTAATGTATATGATTGCATAACGTAACATTTAAAGTCATTAATTGCTCATAATAGCATTATTATGACAAAGGTAAGGCTCGTATCCCAAAAGAGCTATAAAAAGGGAAGAAACAAACAATTGTAGCAGGAGGTGACTATTGGAATATATTTTGATTTACCAGCTTTCATACTTGGTTACTCTAAAATTTCTTTCTTTATTTACTTTTTCGATTATCTGTAACCCGATTCTTCTAAATTCTAGTTTTGACTAAAATCCTATTTTTTGGTTAAATACCTAGGCCAAGTAATGTATTTATCTTTTTTTCCTTCTTTGTTTTACCCTTATTTTTCCAGTATTTTCTTTTTAGGAGGATTAATATTATTCAACCCTTGGTTTATTTGTTGCTCAAAAATATGTTTCAATAATCTCATCTGATTAATTCAAAGCCTAATAAAAATAACTTGGAATACACGTGCAACGCACGTGTTCAGAAACTAGTATGTGTGTGTATATGTATTATTTATTTTTCCACTTTTTTATTTGATTAGTTGAGCTTAACTGGAAAAGTAAGAATTTGTACATTGATCTCAATTATTTTGAGATAGAAGCATAATTATTTTTAGATAATCCTTGTTGTTGTTGTTATTGTTGTTGTTGTTGTTCTTATTATTATTATTATTATTATTATTATTATTATTATTATTATTATTATTATTATTATTAGCATATTTACGAAAACCAATCCCAAAAACCAGATTTCTAACTAAAAATAAATACACGAAATATAAAAAAATAAAAAAATGGCAGTCTGGTGCACTAAACTCCCGTTATGCGCAAGGGAAGAGGCGGACCATAAGGGTTTATTGTACGCAAACTTACCCTGTATTACTGTAATAGGTTATTTTCACAGGTCGAACCCGTGACCTGTGGTCATATATATGCCAAAGCTCCCCCTCAAATATACTAAAATAGAGGTAAATAAATATAGAGTATATAAATCTTGGCAAGATCCTAGCGAGTAGTGGGATCATGCAGCATACGATGTCGTTTGGGGGGAGAAAACATATATCAGCTCACAATCTAGGGTTTCAAATTTCCTTCACAATCAACGGCCTAATTTGCAGAGAGTGAAAAATGGGAGGTAAGTGTCCACACAGGAGCGTAAAGAAGCGAAGATACTCTCACAAAACTTTTCGCCGTTCAAAATTCCTCGTAAAAGGTGACGACGCCGTTTACGACGAACTTAAAAAGCCAGCTGAGCAACGGAAAGAGTTTCCCGTCGACGAAGATCTTCCCGGAATGGGTCAATACTACTGTTTACACTGCGAGTAATTTATACCTCTTTTAAAAGCTCAGTTAATTGGTTATTTTATTAAATTTAATTAAAATTTAGTTTTTTTTGTTTATTTATTAAATTTTGTTTACTTTGTTGTTTTTGATGGTTTGATTTGTGTAGTCGATATTTCGCGAATGTTGCGGTGAGGGACGATCATTTCAAGACGAAAAAGCACAGGAAGCGGTAATATGTTAATAGATTTTAGTTGATGGCACTTACATATTGATATTTGGTGAATCAGTGTAATTGTCACGTTGCAGCTTAATTTTAGTTTCATTGCTGCTGCTTACTTAGGTTGCTTCGAACTGACGTGGAAATAAGTCCCCATCCCAACTTTTCTCAACTTGGCTGAGCTCAGGGGCAGATTAGTGTTAGAATTATGAATTCGTCCGAACCCTATACCCTATGTATATGCGTTAGAAATTTCACTAAACAAGTACAATAATAGATTTCAAACCCGGTAAGTAAAATGGGTTGTGCTAGAATTTTGGACCAGATCCGTAAAGTGTAAATCCTGGAAGAACTATCTGAATGAGAGGAGCGGCTGTAAGACAGGGCTGTTTTTCTTCTGTGTTTATAAACTAGCTGTTGTGGTAGGTGGTGTAATTGTAAAGACGTTATCGTATTTCTTTTATTTTAAAAGAAAAAAAACCCTATGAAGATGGAAATGATATAAGGTCTATCATTCTGTGGTCTTTTCTGCTATGGACTTCCTTAGAGAGAACGTAAATGTTAAGCAACTGATACAAAAGTGTAATGAGTATATGGTAGGCAATTGATGTAAATGTAATTTGAGGTTTTAGTTTGTTGTCTGACAAAACAGGCAATTGCTCGGGCACATCTTTAAATTTTTTGAACTGGAACTGGTATGGCTGAGGTTGTTATAGTTGAGGGAACGATTATTGAGGTGTGGAGGAAACTAGTAGCTGAAAATTAAGTATGAAGATAAATCATTATAATAGGAATTAAGTATGAAGATAAATGCCCCAAACGTCATAACAGGAAGTTGACCTGCTTGACAAAATCTAGTCTCGTCTTTTAGAAACAATGGAGCCTCTCTAAGCATGGGAATGTATAATGGATTTTTTCCTCGGTTATTATAGCATTCCTTGTTAGGAAATCTAACGGACTCACTAACATTCAAACAGTAATGCTACCACCTTCTTTAAAATTAACCTTGAATCACAAATTGTCGCAGGGTGGAAACTGCTATGTTGTAGGCTGCATAGGCAACATCTTTTCTTTCTATTACTTATACAGATAAATACGAATAAACAAAGCCACAACACCTGTCCCATTGCCAGTAATTGTCGTTTGGTTGTCCGCAATGCCTTTAAACTCGATGATGGTTGGAAAATTTTTCCGCAATTTTCTCTTAACCTATTTTGAATCAAACGCGACCTGAAAAGCTTGTTTTGCATGACCTGCACACAGTTTCTGCCATGGTTTCTTGTTCTAATAAATGGAGGATAACTTGTGACTTTAAGTGCCGAAATGCTCTTAAGTTAATTTCTTTTGGCAACGTACAATCTTAGGGGTTGATTTGTTACGTCTTAAGATTGGAATTGTGGATTAAAAAATGCTAAACTATAGGCAGAAGGGAATCATTTCAGTTTAGTAACAGTGGGTCAATGCATCTCAATGCATCTCAGTGTATTTCTTGTAAGCCAAACGAGGGTTCTTTTTTAAAAAAAAATGTAAAGGTGGTGTTCGAGCGAGCTCTCTCGCTTGGACTATTCCACCTGGCATTTGCTACTTTCCACCTAAGGCTTAGGCAGTCTCCTAGTGTTTTTCGATCTCCGTTGGAATTTGAACATGAGGTCTCATGGTTCTCTTCCCACTTCATTGACCACAAGGCCACACCCTTGGTCAAAGAAGACTTCCGCTTTCCCTATGTGTCAGCAATTTCTCAAGTTACATGTCTAATCATCATCAACAACAACAACGACCCTGTAAAATCCCATAAGTGGGGTATAGGGAGGGTAGTGTGTACGCAGACCTTACCCCTTTCCCGATGGGGCAGAAAGACTGTTTCCGATAGACCATCGGCTCAAGGAGACAGAAAAGACGAGAAGAGACAATATATCGGTACCGTCAATAGAAATAATAATAATAGCATCATAAAAACCAGAAAATAGATGACAAGCAATAACAATAACCAGTAATCAAGGCTGGTGCTATGAAAAACGGAAGGATAGTGTAAACACAACATTGACAACACATTCACAATTTCAATTTTTCTCTAGATAACCATTCAAGTCAAAACTAAGACATTTGATTTGGGATGAAGGGGCAAGACTATACAGCTAATCTGGTCACCGCGGGATGACTGTAAGGTTGTAGGTGTAGCATGTTAACGGTTAGCATGACTTTTTGTTTGTTAAATCAAAGAAGACAAGGTCTTCGAAGAATGATTAGCTAGGGTAAATAATGTAAATCTACCAGCACTAACAAGAAACAGATGTTAGGTAAGGATTGGCTTGGAGCGTGTTGCAGCCATCGTGAAGCTGAGGCAGATTGGAAGGGGATGAAATAGGATTTAACTCCTAATCGAGTGTCTGACCTTTCCAGTTGCTAAGACTGACCGAGACAATGTCTAGTGCTTACGTAAAAACTAGTCTAGCTCCAAAGTATCGGAAATACATAGTCCTGGATATTATGATCCTTGTATTGTGTGGTTTGATCTTGTGGTCCACATAATCCAAATGTTCTTAATATGAGGGATAATAATGCTTGCAGTACATGGACTCTAAAGTTATATAAAAGTGAAGATTATTACTTCAAAAAGAAATGAAGATTATTCCATCTGCTTGTATTGCACAATACCACATGCCTTGATATTTTGCCGTTAAACCTTAGTAATTTCAAAAAGGGGTAGCATCTTGTTGCCTAGCATTACCGAGAGCCATTTTTTTCCCTTTCCTTTTCTTGATAGGTAATGTGAGAATGTTATTTATGTAAAAATGTTGGAGAGGTGTACATCCAAAGAAAGATCATTGCAGTGTGTAAAGAATTGGGTTTCTTGTTGTTTTACAGTGTGTAAAGAACTGTGAAAGTCAACTGTGGATGCTCTAATGAATATATATTAACACACTTACAGGAGCTACTTTTCTCAGTTGAACAATTTATTTAATGAAATTGCATCGTAAGAACCCTCTTTGGAGTGATCTATGTGGGTCAGCTGCTTATGAGAGAAATGGTGCCTGAATCCATGGTCGAACAACTAAACAAGCTTAAAGCATACGAAGCATATGATCTGGACCATCATGATTGTGAGAATGCACGGGAGAAAATATTATTATTGATTAGTAATTGACAATGCTACAATGAACCCTATATATACAATACATGTCCTACTCCTAATACATATGGGATTAGGGTTATTTACTATTTATACAATGAAACTAACACTCCCCCTCAAGCTGGTGCATATAAATCATATGTACCGAGCTTGTTACATATAAAACTAATACGAGGACCAGTGAGGGACTTGGTGAAAATATCAGCAAGCTGATCATTCGACTTCACAAATTTTGTAGCAATATCTCCCGAGAGTATCTTCTCTCTAACAAAGTGACAGTCAATCTCTATGTGTTTAGTTCTCTCATGGAACACTGGATTTGACGCAATATGAAGAGCAGCTTGACTATCACACACAAGTCCCGTCTGACTAATCTCACCAAATTTCAACTCCTTGAGCAACTGTTTGATCCAAATTAGCTCACATGTGGCCATAGCCATTGCTCGATATTCTGCTTCTGCACTAGACCGAGCAACCACATTCTGTTTCTTGCTCTTCCAAGACACCAAATTTCCTCCTACTAAGACACAATATCCGGACGTAGAACGTCTATCAGAAGGTGATCCTGCCCAATCAGCATCTGAGTATCCAAAGATTTGCTCATGGCCTCGATCCTCAAACAATAAGCCTTTGCCTGGAGCTGATTTTATATACCGAAGAATGCGGACAACTGCATCCCAATGACTATCACAGGGAGAATCCATAAACTGACTCACAACACTCACAGGAAAGGAAATGTCAGGTCTAGTCACTGTGAGGTAATTTAATTTACCAAGCCTATATCTTGCAGGATCACTAAGAGGCTCCCCCTGTCCTGGCAGAAGTTTAGAATTCGGATCCATCGGAGTGTCAACAGGTCTACAACCTGTCATTCCCGTCTCCTCAAGATTATCTAAGGCATACTTCCGTTGTGAGATCACAATACCCGAGCTAGACTGAGCGACCTCAATACCCAAAAAATACTTTAATCTGCCTAGATCCTTAGTCTGAAAGGATGTAACAAGATGTAAGAACTGCATCCCCCCAAAAACGCAGCGGAACATGAGATTGTATGAGTAGGGTACGAGCAGTTTCAATAAGATGTCTATTCTTTCTTTCAGCTACCCCATTTTGTTGGGATGTGTACGGACAAGATGTTTGATGAATAATCCCATGGGAGTTCATAAACTGCTGAAATGGGGAAGACAAATACTCTAGGGCATTATCACTACGAAATGTACGGATAGAAACCCCAAATTGATTTTGAATTTCAGCGTGGAAGGTCTGGAAAATAGAAAACAACTATGATCGATTTTTCATCAAAAATATCCAAGTGCACCTGGAATAATCATCAATGAAACTGACAAAGTAGCGGAATCCCAAGGTAGAACTGACCCGACTAGGACCCCAAATATCTGAATAGACTAAAGTAAAAGGTGACTGCTCGATTATCGAGGCGCCGCGGGAAATGGGAGCGGGTATGCTTACCGAGCTGACATGACTCACACTCTAGAGTGGACAAGTGAGATAAGCCAGGTACCATTTTCTGAAGTTTTGACAGATTGGGATGTCCTAACCGTTTATGTAATAAATCTGGTGAATCAGTAACGGGAGAAGTTATTGGAGGAAGTAAAGATGCGAGTCCATGTGATTTTGCAAGGATAAGGTAATAAAGTCCATCTGATTCACGTCCGGTACCAATGATCCGCCCTGTACTGCGTTCCTGTATAGAAACAAGGTCATCAAGAAATAAAACAGCAGATTTAAGGGATTTGGCTAGGCGACTAACGGCTATGAGATTAAAAGGACTACCAGGAACGTAAAGAACGGAGTCTAAAGGTAAGGAAGGAAGTGGACTTGCTTGACCTATTGCAGTTGTCATGGCTTGAGACCCATTGGCCAGTGTGACTGTTGGAAGAGATCGAGAATATGAAATACTAGTGAAAATAGATTTGTTACCAGAAATATGATCAGATGCACCTGAATTAATGACCCAAGACTCAGAAGGTGAAGATTGGGAGACACAAGTCATGCTACTATTTGTTGGAACAACGGAGGCTAATCCTGAAGATGTCTGTTTACGTGCTTTGTACGGAAGGAACTCAATATAATCCGGAAAAGAAACCATCTGGATGGGATTCAATGCATTGGATTCAACGGATTGTGAGTTAAAAGCTTCCGATACGAATGCCATTATAATATCGTGTCGGAAAAAGCAGATTTTTTTCTTGGGATCACTGTTTATGCTGGAAAAATCACTGTAGCTGCCGGAAAAATCAATGTAGTCGCCGGAAAAACTCAAAGTGGTCGGAATCAAACGAAAACAGGATGGGCAGGGTCGGAATTAGTAGGCGACCCAACTGTTCTGAAGAACCGTTGTCAAAAAATGGCCGGAAGTGGGCGTACGCGCCGGCGCGTGGGTGTCACGCGCTCGCCGGAAAATTTCTTCTGCCGGTGCGTGTAGGCACGTGGCAGATTTTCTGCCGGAGAAATTTTAGAGGGTTGGTCGCCGAGGAGTGATCTACCTCGTGGTGGTGTTGGTTTTTGCACCACACCGATAGAAAGTGACTTGATTACGGGCAGCCTTCTAAGTCGCCGGAAAATTGCATGGCGACGAGGTCTTTCTTCCCGGAAGTCGCTGGAATGATGCACAGCGATAGGTTTCTCACTAATGCTCTGATACCATGTGAGAATGCACGGGAGAAAATATTATTATTGATTAGTTAATTGACAATGCTATAATGAACCCTATATATACAATACATGTCCTACTCCTAATACATATGAGATTAGGGTTATTTACTACTATTTATACAATGAAACTAACAATGATCCCTGCATTTGGCACAGTTAGTTCTTCTGGACTGACATAGACCTGTGGGTTAAATTGCAAGGACAATGATGTTTTGGGAGTCTAGGACCATAGGAGACATGCTTTTGGGGTTATAAGTGAAGATATGTCTTCTGTTTGTATTGACGCAATATTGCATACCTGAAATTTGCTATTAAACCATAATATCTTTTGCCGAAAAATTGGAGCAGCTGGTTTGTCTGGAGAGGTCTCTGTATGTAACTAATGCAAATGGTAGAATCTTTTGTACTAAATCGGAGCAGTACCTGCTTTGTATTCCTTGCAAGTGACCTTTTTATTCTAGTCGGTTGGTTTGACTGCACGGGGGCTACCAATAATAATAGAGGATATCCATTATAGAGTGTGCGCATCTAGGGCGACGGAGTAGATTACCTTTTGGCCAGTGCATGGTGAAAAGTGATACTGGTGGCAGATACGTGCAGAATCTAGAATACAACAACAAACAACATTTTGGGGTCTATTTGGACAATCTCGTTTTCTACTTCTTTAAACTTCTCTATTTCCTTTGTTTGGCCAAGTTAGGATCGGATATCTTCAATAATTTAGCACATGTGACGTGGTAAAGTGGCGACGTTTCACATAAACATGCCAAAGTTGTAAATATGACACAAACATGTGTGTAATAAATGGTAAATATGAAACTTACATTATATGTTGTAAATTGAGATGCTACTTTGAGCACAGTTCTTTTGATTTGGCTGTAACAAAATTAGAATTTTCTATTTTCTGCTAGGAGCATCCAGTTTGGAGCTTATGTCTATGCTCAACTTGAACAGCTCAACCATAGAAATCTGACTAATGAATTGTGAACCCATGTTTTGTAGTGATTGTGGTTGGTAGTTTGTGAAAATATAAAGCTTGTATATTTTTACCTGATTAGTTTTGTTGATGCAGTGTGAAAATAATGATGGGCCCTGCACCACACACCCAACTTGATGCTGATTTAGCTGCTGGAATGGGTATGCCAGATAATGGTCCAAAGCTAATGTCGATGTGTTGAGCTTCTCTCGTCCTGCTTATAACTCCTATGGTACTGGTAGAGTTCTTTTCAACTTTGAGAATTTATCTTAGGAACATAGGTTTTTGTTAGTCTACATCTCCCTCTCAGTATAGCAAGTTTAAAAGATAGATAGTGATTTTAGTTGGGTGGTTATGTTTGGCCAAGATTCAGCAAGACGCTAGCTAGTCTTATACATTTTCTCTCTGTTGTATCAGCCAAAGATTGCTTAAAACAGCATCTTTGTGTTTCTATACCAAGGGGCGGTATGGACTTGACAGGTTAAATACTGAAATAAAAGTAATTTTCCAGAATCTTTGTTAAACTGCAGAACGTATATAGTCCATCTTACCAGACGTCTTATCTAAATTCGTGCTAAATTATGTTGGTTATTTAAGTTTATGATTTCTACTCATTGGAACACATCCAATCAACATTTGCTGAATCTGATGGTAATAATCTTGCGAAGTATGGTACTTTGATTGTAAATCAGATCGATGAAAATAGATTTTCTCCCGTAGTCTTTTCCCCAAATTGTACATGTTGACTTTCTCAAACTTGAAATAGAACATTACTCAAATAGCATTTTATATAGATTTTTAATGTTCTTCGGAGTTCTAGACTCCTTACAGCCTCTGATTAATCGGAATTCACAGTGCGTAAGGGCCTTGTATATTATTTGTCGTAGAGGTGAAAGTTGGATTATCATTATTTAAGTTGGACCAAATTGGGTGCGTTATACAATGTACTTTACATAACTATCTTGTTGAGTTTATTGTGTCCGCTTGATTTTCTTATAATATATTTAATTTTTCAACGTCTCGAAGGAAGATAACATATTTATCATAATTGTGGTTTTTCTTTCTTAAGAAAGTATAAACCTAAAAGTTTTGGACTTCTATAAGTTGAGGATTCAACATTTACAATATATCCAAGGGGTTTGAGACTCTTGTTCAGGGCGGAAGTTCTTTAGACACGTGTTATCCTGCCACTTGTGTGTGCCTCTTTGTAAGGTTAATTTTTCAATATTTTGTACATCATTTATATAGTGGATTGTTCATCTCAGCTTATGAATGTGAGTTAATTGATCGAATCACGTTACATGTTTATGTTAGTTTTGGTATACTCCTTTTTTGTTATATGATTTATCATCGTTGAAGTTATATTTTGTTAGCTTTCGCATGATATCTAATTATTTTGATCCTAACAAAATCAAGTATTTAAGAAAGAAGGATAATGGAGCGCGTTTCGAGTTCCAAACGTGCACGTCAATTGAAGTCAGGCCAGAAACCACAAGCAATTCTCTGATAGGAAAAAACAAAGTGTCCGATGCTTTTTCCAACACTTTTCTTACGCAAATTTGTTTGTATTTCGTAGCTCTTTTCTCTTTTTGGGATTTAATGATCCATTTGAATAAGTCAAAAACATGCCCAGGCCTTGTCAAATGTAACTAATTAATACTACTGAGTTTTCTGGCAGTGGTCATTTGAATTTCTCATTGTAAAACCTCTGAATTCTTAGTACCAGTTGACTACTGAACTATAATCATTTAATTTCACTGCCAGAAGAGCAATGACTATAAACTTGTCTTCAACTCTCTATCTATTTTTCTTGTATCCTTTAATTTTTTTTTGTTTTCCCATCCGGTATCCGCTACCCACAATCCGGATTCGCGCCGGAAAGTCCCACAAAGCGCTTCCTAATAAAGTAGTAGTATCCTTTATTACTACTACTTGTGTTCCACTGAATAATTTTATTTCAACCTCTTGTCAGTCATTTTTTGACTTTAGCATTTTGTACACTCAGCTCACGCCATTTATTACCTCCAAGATCGTTTGTGGCGTTTCAATTTCTGAAGGCGTTGAAATTTTTCTTTCAACTTTTTTCTACATTTTTTTGTCACTAAACAATTGTTAGTCTCCTTATCTTTACTTAATTAGCTAGTAAATGCGTGTCTCTCAGGTGACTTGTGACTCAATTTAATTACAATGTACTCCCTCCGTCCAAATTTATTTGTCTACTATACTAAAAATAGATTTCTACTTTTACTTGTCCAGTTTGAAAAATCGATGGATAATTTACTATTTTATGTACATGTTTTACCTTATTAAGTATTATTTATTTTCCAACATATAATAAATAGGAGTGATACGGAAATATTATCATATTATTTATTATTTTTTAAGAAGTATGCTAAGTCAATAGTGAATAAGTAAACTTGGACGGAGGAAGTAGTTTTTTGAGTTAGAAGACCCCTACCAATCAAGAAAATCCAACCAGTCAGTGTATCTTAACCCTGTGACGTACATTTGAAAAGTAGGATATAACAAAATGCCAGTTCCAAATGTACAATTTCCAATTAACGTTATCAAGAAAAATAATTCATTTTAAAGACAAGAAACATTTAGACCACTAAGAATCATGCTCATATTATTTTAAACTTTGAGCATAGATTTGTCGGTGGAAAAAATGGAGTTTTCCCTAAGCATATGGAGTAATAAACTAAACTCATACTATACAAGTTGTATTAAATTAGATACTCAAAATTTGTTAAGCTCAAAGAAGTATAGCCTGCTTGGCCAAGCTTATTTTTGGGCCAAAAGGGCTTTTTTTTCCAAGTCAAAATAGCGTGGCATAGCCACTTTTACGGGTGGCTATCGAAAAATAGCCACCGTCCGTGATGTCATTGATTTCTAGCCATTTTAACTTAAAATAGAATGTAAAATGACATTATTGCCCTTGCACGCTTTAACATACTCTTTAGTAACTTTTTACTCTTTGTTTGCACAGCAGCGCGTGCGGCTTTCGTCAGAGCACTTTTTTTCGAATCCTTGATCGTTTTAGCTCTAATTTTCTTCAAAATTCTCTGGGTGAGTTTTGTTTTTACAATAATGTGTTTGATTCACGTTCTTATTGTTGTTTCGTTATGTTTAAGTTTGATTTACCGTACCGTTAGGGTTTAAATAATTATTTTTTGTGTTCATTATTTTGTTTTGTTTCTGATAATTTTATCACTTTGTTCTAGCTTATATTATTTTGTTTTGTTTCAATCCAGTATAATATATAGGATATCACCTGTGTGTAATTTTTTTTTCCATTATATTATACTGGAGGAGTTGAGTTTGGTCTAGCATATAGTTGAGTTTGGTTTCAATCCAGTATAATATACGGGACATCACATGTGTGTAATCTTTTTCTCCAGTATATTATACTGGACGAGTTGAGTTTGGTCTAGCATATAGTTGACTTTTGTTTCAATCCAGTATAATATACAGGATATCACCTGTTTGTAATCTTTTTTTCCATTATATTATACTGGAGGAGTTGAGTTTGGTCTAGCATATAATTGAGTTTTAATATACAGGACATCACCTGTGTGTAATCTTTTTTTCCATTATATTATACTGGAGGAGTTGAGTTTGCGATAGCATATAGTTCAGTTGTTTCAATCCAGTATAATGTACAGGACATCACCTGTGTGTAATCTTTTTTTCGATTATATTATACTGGAGGAGTTGAGTTTGGGCTAGCATATAGTTGAGTTTTGTTTCAATCCAGTATAATATACAGGACAACTATGTTATGCAATCATCAAAATTTTAAACACATAATATGGAATCTAGTTAATGTATGCCCCCAAGTCGCACAAAGCTTTGACAATGCAGAAAATTTTAATATTATCAAAAAACATGAAAAATTAGAAGATTTTAATTTAGCAATGATAAAGGAAGGGATTTCTGGTATTGAAACGTAATGCTATATATTGAAAAAAAATTCTGACATATTAATGTATTTTTTATGTAGCATCTGGTTTTGTTGACGTTGGAAATCCAGATGATGAAAAATGGTTGGAAATGTGTGATTTAGAGACTCATAAATTAACAGCTGAGCTTTGTAAGCAAACAAGAAATGAAGATATTCCAACTTCAGATGTTGATAAAAAATCATCATCTATGATGATTCCAGATCATGAAATTGAGATGACTGACACTCAAATTGATTGTCAGATTCATAAAATAACTTCTGAGTTTGTTAATGAATCCATAGGTGTTCTTCCTATAAAAACAACTATTTCAAAAGGTTCTACACATGAAGATGCTACCACTTCTTCCTTGCCCAATCATTCAAGTTTTGAAGGTTTCGAAGCTTATGAGATTTTGGACAACTCTCCTGGAGAAGATGCAACAAAAATGAAAAACACTCTTGTACCTCGTGTAATTGTGAAAGGTGATAACCCTTTTAAAATATCAATTACTGAAGAAATTCTTCTATCAATTAGAGATGAATTCAATAAGTTTGTTGAGACAAACTTGATCCTAACTAAGAGGTAAATTTACATATATTTAACATATGTTTTGATTGAACTTTCTTTGGAATGATAGTTTGGACTATTCTATTTATATATTTATTAAACTTTGTAGGAAGAAGGGGTATGAAGAGAAGGATGATATACTGGAGGAAGAGTTTGATCTTGGAGTTGAATTTATAGCTAATAAGACATGATTTTTTGAACTTTATTATACTGGTATAGGAATCAATGAAACGGTATGTGAACATACATTACTTTTTTTGTTTTGTTTTAGAATAAATATGTTTCTGTATATTCGATTGATATCTGTTTTCTTTTTGAAGTATATTGATGTTATATTCTATTACCTCCGGAAGAAAGCAAAATATGAAAACATAAGGATGACAACTACAGACAATTATTTCAGTACTATCATTCAAGAAGTGTACAGTAAATCGAATATGCATGACATAAAGGTACAAAATGAGATTTTTGATTTGACAAAGAAGTTAAGAGAGTATGTTCTTGGGTTTTACATTCTTGGTAACACCCCCTGGGTTTCCGTGGATTATGTTCTTATGCCAATCAATGTAAAAGAGGCATGGCATTGGGTGTTGGGTGTTCTATCTTTGCATACTGGGTGCATATACATATATGACTCAATAAGATCCTCAAGACATGATGCTGTAGTTCATAAAGCTTTGAACTCATTTGCTGTAATGATACCATTGTTGCTCAACACTACTACATTTTATCAGCAAAGAAGTGACATTACAATGGATAAACCACATTTTTTGGAAAAAGAGGAGCTAAGTAATCCATTTGCTATTATTTCAGTGGATAACTTGCCTCAACAGGAAAAAACGTAAGTGTTTTGCTATGTTTATCCTGCTTCTTTATATTACTTCAGCTATTTATCGTTTATTGTTTTAACTTATTCTTTCTTAATATGTGTTTTATTGTAGTGATTGTGGTATATATTTTTCTGCATTTGCGGAGTATTTCATTGAAGGCAAGGAGTTACCAGATGACAAGAACATGTTTGATCCTACATGTCTTCGATTAAGA